AGTTCTGTTAGCTTTATTACGAACACTAATGCACTGTTGTCTTGGTTTTAAATTACTGCTAACCAGAACTCCTAAATCTTTTTCGCAATCAGTAGTATTAAGATCTACATTATTTAGTTTATATGTGGCATGGTTATTTACCTCTTAAGTTTCCTCAATAGCCTCTGGTGTGGAAATCTATCGAAAGCCTTACTGAAGTCCATATACACAATATCATATTCATTACCATGATCTACCTCCTCAAACACCTTAGTGAAAAAAGTTAGTAAATTCGTAAGACAGGAACGCTCCTTTGTAAAACAGTGTTGAGATTCATTAATCAATCTGTGCCTGTCAAGATGGCTACGAATTGCTTCGGCAATTATTGATTCCATAAATTTTCCCACTGTGGAGGTAAAGGCTTATTGGTCTATAGTTCGAAGCCAAGGACCTGTCACCTGCCTTGTAAATAGGTATTACATTTGCCATTTTCCACTTATCAGGCACTATGCCAGTTTGTAGTGATATGTTAAAAAGATTAGCCAAAGGTATGCTAAGTTCCTCTTAACATTCCTCTAACACCCTTGCAAACAGTTCATCAGGACCTGGGGATTTGTTAGGTTTTAGTTTCTCTATTTGTCTGAGGACCATGTCACTAGTTACCGCAATCGTACATAGTTTATTATCATCCTGTTCTACATAATCTATTATTTCAGGAATATCGCTAGTATTTTCCTGGGTGAAAACTGAGATGAAGTAGGTATTTAGAATTTCTCACGTATCCTTATCACTGTCAGTGATCTGACCAGAGTTACTCTTAAGTGGGCCAATCTTGTCCCTAATCTTACTTCTGTATACCTGAAAGAATCCTTTAGGGTTAATCTTTGAATCCCTTGCGATCTTAGCCTCATAATCCCTTTTTGCTTTTCTTATTCCTTTCTTTATTTCTCTCTTTAATTGAATATGTTGATTTCTTAACTGCCCATCCCCTCTTTTGATACGCCTATATATGCCTCTCTTTTGACCAGTGAGATGTTTTAATCTATTGTTCATCCATTTGGGATCATTTTTGTTAGATCTAATTTCCCTACTCGGAACAAAAGTTGTCTGGGCAGCTAGAACTATGCTCTGAAAAACGTCATATTGGCAACCAAGATCACCTACCTGACCCATAGTCAGGACATCTCAATTTAGCCCACCCAGGTAATTTTTCAGTCCCATGAAGTCGGCCAAGCGAAAATCTGGGACAGAGATTTGATTGCAGTTATCTGGGTAATTCCATGATATATTAAAACTAAGTGATTTGTAATCACTTTCCCCAAGCTCATCATTAACCTCAAGATTATTAATTAGTGAATCTTTGTTGGCAAGAACCAAGTCAAGCAGATTGTTTCCTCTAGTTGGTTCTGTCACAACCTGTTCTAAAAAGCAATCCTGAACCATATCAAGAAAGTCACTAGACTCAAGATTTCCTGTCATATTGTTCCAATCAATTTGTCTAAAGTTAAAATCTCCTATTATAATAACATTTTCATATCTAGATGCCTTATGAATTTCGTCCCATAACAGCTTACTGCCCTCCCTATCAAGGTTTGGGGGCCTATAAATCACACCTAAAGTTAATTTGTCACGACCCTCTAGAAACTGTAGCCAAACAGATTTTGTGTTCGATGTTTCTAATCTTATATTATGTCCAAGACAACAATTTAAATTTTCTCTGACATACATCGCCACACCACCACTCTTCCTGTTGACCCTGTCAGTGTGGAATAGTTTATAACCCTGTATGTTGCATTCAGAAGGCATTTCTATATCTTTCAGGTTGAACCAGGTCTCTGTTATACCAATAATATCTATATTACCTACACTTGCAAGTAATTTTAGCTCATATATCTTATTTCTTAGACTCCTACTATTTGTATAGTAAACTTTAAGGGAGCTAGTCACTTGTTGCCGTCTACTACCTCTCTTTGTTGATCAATTGATTTGCCATTACTAGCAACTTTATTTTGAATATTGCTTTAAACATACCCTGAGGGATCCCCGGTAATAACGTTTTTTTTTAACCCAAAGCTGCAGTCTATTTTTTCCCCCAAACCCCCTAAATCATAATCTATCAGTTTAAATTCTTTTGACAATCATCAATTTCCCTCTCATTGAATAGGTAAGCAACCTCCCCCCCAAGATGAACCCCATCCCTTTCTACAATTTACGTTTGTCAAAGAATAGGTCCCAGTTATCAATGAATGGGATTGCAAGTTCCTTGCAATACCTGTCTAGCCAGCAATTTATACCAATTGCCCTAGACATCCATTCACTGCCCACTCCCTTTCTAGGCAAGATGCTACATATGACTGGGATCCCTCCCTTATACCTAACTACTTCTATGGCTGACCTGTACTTATCCAGCAGCTCCTCTCATCTGCCCTTCCCAATGTCATTACCCCCAGCACTAAGACAGATAATGGGCTTGATCCCATTACCTGCCATAATATTATCCAACCTGCTGACTCTTCAGTAAAGATAAAAGTGATTTAAATGTTTATCCATTAAAATCTGTAATTTATATTTATTTCTCATTGTTTTCTGTATGTAAAACTATAGTTATTCTTAATATAATGTATTTTTTGTTAATATTTGGCATCTGGAAAGGATTAATTGGATTTACATTATTTCTTAGGGGAAATATTACTTCGGTTCTCGTCCATTTCGGATTTCGACCGACCTTCTGGAACGCATAAGAGCGAAAACCGGAGTTCCACTGTACTACTATTACTACTACTACTACTACTACTACTACTACTATTACTAGTGCTAGCGAGAGACACACGGAGGGCCCGGGTTCGATTCCCGGCGGGTGGAAACATTTCATCTAGCAGCAAATAGGTACCTGGGTGTTAGTCGAATGGTGTGGGTCGCATCCTGGGGAACAAGATTGAGGACCCCAATGGAAATAAGTTAGACAGTCCTCGATGACGCACTGACTTTCTTGGGTTATCCTGGGTGGCTAACCCTCTGGGGTTAAAAACGAACGAAATCTTATCTTACTACTGCTACTACAACTACTACTACTGCTAATACTACTACTATTACTATTTCTACTGTTACTACCACCACTACTACTACTACTACTACTATTACTACTACTACTATTACTACTACTACTATTAATATTACTACTGCTACTTTTCCTACTGCTGCTACTACTACTACTGCTGCTACTACTACTATTGCTACTACTACTTCTACTATTACTACTACTATTACTGCTACTATTATTACCACTATTACTACTGCTACCATTTCTACTATTACTATTACTACTACTACTCCTACTAATATTTTAACACTACTATTACTATTATTACTAACATTACTACCACTGCTATTACTGCTACTACTGTTACTACTACTGCTAATATTACTACTACTGCTGCTGTTACTACTACTATTACTACTGCTATTACTACTATTACTACTACTACTTCTACTAATACTAACACTACTGTTACTATCATTACTACCACTATTGCTACTACTACTGTTACTACTAGTACTACTGCTACTATTACTACTACCACTACTATTACTACTATTACTATTACTACCACTACTACTACTACTACTACTACTACTACTACTACTACTACTACTACTACTACTACTACTACTGTTACTGCTACTACTACTACTACTACCCCTACTATTACTAACACTACTATTACTACTGTTTCTACTACTACTGCTACCATTATTACTACTAATATGACTAGTACTGCTACTACTACTATTAATACTACCAATATGACTAGTACTGCTACTACTACTATTAATACTACTACTACTACTACCACCATTACTACTACTGCTATTACTATTATTACTACTACTACCATTACTACTACTACTATTACTACTACTACTACTGCTACTACTACTATTGCTACTACTACTGCTGCTGCTATTACTACTACCCTATTATTACTACTATTCTACTACTACTACTGTTACTACTACTGTTACTACTACTATTACTACTACTAATGTTACTTCTACTATTACTGCTATTACTTCTACTAATACTACTTCTACTACTATTACTACTATTACTACTACTACTACTATTACTGCTACCGCTATTACTACTACTACTAGTATTACTATTATTCCTACTACTACTACTATCACTACTACTACTCCTAGTACTATCACTATTATTACTACTTCTGCTGCTACTACAACCACTGCTACTACTATTACTACTACTCCTACTGTTACTACTACTACTATTACTGTTACCGCTACTATTACTGCTACTACTACTATTACTATTACTACTATTACTCTTACTATTACTACCACTATTACTAGTATTACTATTACTATTATTACTTCTACTACTATTACTGCTACTACTACTACTAATACAACAACTACTACTACTACTATTGCTACTACTACTATTTCTGTTAATACTACCATTACTATTACTGCTAATATTACTGCTACTACTACTATTACTACTTCTATTATTATTACAACAATTATTACTACTGCTATTACTCCTACTATTACTACCACTACTATTACTATTAGTACTACTACTACTATTACTACTACTACTATTACTATTACTACTGCTATTAGTACTACTAGTACTAATACATTTACTACTGCTACTATTAGTACTACAACTACTACTACTACTACTACTGTTAGTACTACTGCTACTACTACTAATAATAATAATATTAAGTTCCAGAAGTATTTCCATCTCTTCGTGATCCGAGAAAGGTTCTCCAAATTGCAAAATAATAGTCAATTCTTCCTCAGTGAATGGGATTCGAAGAGGTGCAGATTGATCATGAAGATCTAATGTAGCTAAAAATAAGAAAATGCATGCCTATGCCTGTGTATATCTGGGCATATGTATGCATGTACATCAGTACGCTGTTCTATATGTTTGCGTGTTGTTATGTACATGTGTATGCATTTGAATGAAACTGTACACTACTGTTCAGTTGCTCTTGTATGGCAGTACATTTGTGCATATGTGTTTATATTCATAAGTGAAAGTATGAAAGTATGTGGCACCCTGGAACCTAAGTGGTGCCTTCAGAGCGGTGGCACCAGGCTGGTGATTAATAATTACAACAACAACAATAATAATAAAAATAATATAAAATAATCTTATTTCTACAAGTACATGTACAAGGTATACAGACCATAGCTGACATCAGTGATATACTACTATAAAGAAAGTCCCTTGTTATGCAGAGCATTTCAGGCAAATTACCTGGAGTTTAGGTCGATGTTTCGGTACAACTTGGACCATTTACAAAGTCAGTGTGACTTTATTCCAGACACGGTACTGTGCCTTTTTGTTGTTTACTGTAGCTCGTGTTTGCATGCGCAGCTTTCTACCTGGTTAAGACAGTACCAGTACCAGAAGGAACGAACCCAGACCGAAGTGTCTTTTGCCACTGGCTTTCATCTGCTGAATAAAGACACAAGTGCAACACCCAGAACGTCGGTGGGATTATGACGTGTTTGTAATACTCAGGACGTCTGGTTGATAGAGACGTATATGTAACATATGACTCGAATTGCTTGCTATTCTTTATTTAGCATTTTGTTGCTATTGATGTGGCTTTTGCTTGAATAAATTTTTATTTGCAGATAAATCTTAAGGATAAATCTACGGTGGAAGGCAGAACTGCAAGAATAAACCAGTTGCGGGAGCTATGCAACAGCAGCAGTACAAATATGAAGAATGATCAGTGGACAATCAACCCTGGAATAACACCATTATCTGAAAGTTCACGTAATGTAGTCAATATCCTGACGGAGAGGCGCAAGTTGCTTCAGACGCAGTGCGAAGAGAAACTGACTCCCGAGGAGAAAGCACAACCCGCTAACAGCAATGAATTTCTCATAAGTGATAAATATAAGCTGGTGTGGTGTAACGTTTTCAAAGCTGCCTCCACTACCTGGATGTTCAATTTCTTTATAATGGCCGGCAAGACCGAAAAGGAGTTTCGGCTGTCCCTCAAGACCTCAGCCGTTGAAGAGACGAGAAAGTTGTACCCACGTCCCTCCATAGAGGAGCTGAATGACTCCCTCACTTGCCTGAACTACTCTTCATTCATAATCGTCAGGGAGCCCTTTGAACGACTCCTGTCTTCGTACCGGGACAAAATAGAGTCCACTGCTCAGTATTACTTCAGGTAAGACTCGATGCCATTTTGTTTTTTCTCTTTTGCTTTACCACCTTCAAGTGAGGTTCCGAGATGTCAGTGAGGGGCCCTTTACGTAATCTTTACGTAGAGAATCCCAGCTACCCGCCCCTTCCTTGGATCAAACTAATTGCCTATCATTCTCCAAGTGCTCTGTGAATCTTACCAGTTTAGAGCATCTCTGTGAATAGATAATATTAGTAATAATAATAATAATAATAATAATAATAATAATAATAATAATAATAATAATAATAATATAATAATAATAATAATAATAATAATAATAATAATAATAATAATAATAATTAGTAATAATAATAATAATAATAATAATAATAATAATAATAATAATAATAATAATAATAATAATAATAATAATAATAAATAATAATAATAAATAATAATAATAATAATAATTAATACCTCGTCTATGGAGGCAAAAACAGGAATGTTCCAAAGGATACAATATATGGGTGTGAAGTATGGTTTTTAAATGTTGCAGCAAACAAGAGGTTGGAGTAAGAGGAGACATCACGTTTAATAGTTTAAAAGACAGAGTGGATTACCAGAGTATGATTCCGAGTGTTGATGAGATGGTTTGGACAATTAGATGGTTTGGACAATTAGATGGTTTGGACAATTAGAAAGAATGACGTATAAATGGATGACAAAGTGAGTCTATAAATTTCTGGTGGAAGGATGGAAGGGGTAGGGAACGTATCCACGACAAATAGTGCGACTGTTAAGCACTGAAATTGTGCCTTTCCAAACATCTGACACCCATCTTTCAGATAACTTTACCATAAAATCACCTCAAAAATACAAGTTAAGCTAGTTAATCTATTAATTAAAAAATTATGGCACTAAATAAAAATTACAAGTGCACCTTCCTTGCTTTCACTGACGCCAGGTTCTGAGTCGCAAGGAATTTTATGCAGTGAATTATCTTCAAGATATCACACCACTTCTGCTTTTCCTTCTCTGTTACTGAAATGAAGCGCCAATAACGCCTCTGTTTCCAGCTAAATTTCGTTCCATTTCTTTCCACTTGTGTGAAACACTCCCAATGATTCATAGCAGTTTCATGAGCACTTACCACTGGTTGAATCTACTTTCCTGCTCCATTGAAGAGTGATGGTCTGACTAGATAGACAGAAGTCAACAGATACAAAATGCAGACATTTTAGAAGGGGAATAGACCAGCCATGAGTGATTCACTTCCTCACCACCACCGTTTCTCAGTTTCCTTCTGAACATAGTTCTGTTCATAGAGCGGTTATCTTTTGGTAGGAAAGTTCACTCACTGTCCTGGAAATACTTTGAATCCAGCTTTAGTATTTCTGTTCTCAGCGCGTCAGGCAGAATTGCTTTTCCTGTGCTCCTTCCCTCAGTACCCATGGAGTGATGATGACCGGTCCCGCCGGATTTGATGTATGTAGTTCTATTAGCAGCTTCTTCACCTATTTCTCAGTTGTGTGTAGTGTGTCCAGCACTTGTTGGTGTACTCTAACATCCAGGTTTGTTGGAATCATTTCTGTGTCCACTGAAAATACTTCCTTAAATCTTCTATAGAGCTCTTCACGTACTTCTTTGTCGTTTCTTGTGATTTTTCCTCTTTCCTTCCTCAGCCTGATTACCTAGTCATTGACGGTTTTTTCCGCTGATGTGGCTGTACATCACCTTTGGATCAGATTTATCTTTCGATGCTATGTCATTCTCGTAATGCTGCTGGGCCTCCCTCCTTACCCATGCGTATTCATTTCTGGCTCTTCAACTAATTCCTTATTTTCCTGGGTTCTTTGTCTTTATACTTTTTCCATTCTCTAGAACATTTAGGTTTGTCCTCCCTACACCTTTGGGTGAACTCTTGTTTTTGTTGCCCTTGGGTACAAACCTTTCCACTGTCTCCTTTCACTTTTTGGTTACATATTTCATAATTTTATTTACTGTTTTTCCCATCAGATCTCTCTCCCACTGCACCTCGTGCAGGAAATTCCTCATGCCTGTATAATCCCCTCTTTTGTAGTTTGGCTTCTCTCATTCTATTTATGCTTTTTCATTCTCCACTTTTAACATAATGTATTCGAAGATCAGAACCATGTGAACACTTGCTCCAAGAGGCCTGTCATATGTGTTTGAACTACTCAAGGTGAATATGAGGTCCAGCATTGCTGGTTCGCCCTCTCTTCTTTCTTTCTCTGGTAGTGTCCCTAACATGTTGATGCATTAGGTTTTCCTGAACCACCTCCATCAGTCTTCTTGTCATTGAAGTCACGCACATCTAGTAACTCTGCCCTGCCCATGCTGGCCCCTTTTTGCTACCTCAGCTAGAGTGTCAACCATTGATCTGTTGCTCTCGTAATCTTGCCTTGGCTTCCTGCTATTCTGTGGTGGGTTATATATCACTTCAATCAGCAACTTGAGACCCTCAGTCTGAAGTGTTACCACTATGTAGTCGATTGCTTCCCTTCTGTCCACTTCTTCTAACTCCTCAAAACTCCACTGGTTTTTTATGAGTAGTGCTCTGATATCCAGTTGGAAAGATCGTGACTGTTATCATTCCTGTGAGCTTGGTTTCCCTGAGTGCTATTATGTTTGCTTGTTATTCCAACTGCGTTGGTGAACCATCCCTTCAGCCTCTCCAAAACTATATTTTTGGAAGGTTCGTGGGGGCTGGGGGAGTTGGAGACCTTCCACGATACTATGGGAGGCCACTATGTAGGTGGGATTTGTGCTGGAAAGTGGCTCTGGGTAGTATATGTGTTTATGGATCCTTAACTACCTACCTACATTATCATATAAAGTCAGGTGATGTTGAGGTGTCCTGATCTGCCTTCCTTTTATTTTTATAGTTCCTTAATAATGTGAGAAATCACAACAACGCTTGGAATTTTGCTAATTTTTCACATTGGTTATTCTGCATATTGTGATATCACTTGTTTGCTGTGATCTTAAAGCAAAAGATTCGGCAGGAGATGCAATATTTTCCCAATGAAAATCCAGGGAGTCACGAATACACTGAGAGACAACACGATAAATATCAGGGCCCCAAGACTGTTCAATTGCCTTCCAGCATACATAAGTGGGGTTACCAATAGACCCCTGGCTGTCTTCAAGAAGGCTCTGGACAGGCACCTAAAGTCAGTACCTGACCAACTGGCCAGTGGTACCAGCCTGGTTGATCAGACCCTGATCCACCATGAGGCTTGGTCTCAGACCGAACCGCGGGGGCGTTGACCCCCGAAGCCCTCTTCAGATAAACTCCAGGTAAATAGTGACCCTCACATTATTTAGGATCATTTATTACAGTGACCCTCACATTATTTAGGATCATCTATTACAGTGACCCTCACATTATTTAGGATCATGTACTACAGTGATCCTCACAATATTTATATCCTACTTGTACTGTGATCCTCACAGTTCTACCGCAGTAACCTTAACACCATATAGGATCTACCACAGAGACCGCTCATTCTATTAAGGTTTTTCTACATCAGTGAAATTCATGCCCCTCAGGTGAGTCAGTGTTATTAAGTTTGCTTCTCCTTACAAGCAACTGAAGACATTTAGGAGGGTTATTTATATTATTAAGTGGTAGATACTCTTCAGTTATACTAACAACCTGACTGCTAACAACCTGACTGCTAACAACCTGACTGCTAACAACCTGACTGGTAACAACCTGACTGCTAACAACATGACTAGTAACAACATGACTGGTAACAACATGACTGGTAACAACATGACTGGTAACAACCTGACTGTTAACAACATGACTGGTAACAACATGACTGGTAACAACATGACTGGTAACAACCTGACTGCTAACACCCTGACTGCTAACAACCTGACTGCTACCAACATGACTGGTAACAACCTGACTGGTAACAACTTGACTGGTAACAACATGACTGGTAACAACATGACTGGTAACAACCTGACTGTTAACAACATGACTAGTAACAACATGACTGGTAAAACATGACTGGTAACAACCTGACTGTTAACAACATGACTGGTAACAACATGTCTGGTAACAACATGACTGGTAACAACCTGACTGGTAACAACTTGACTGTTAACAACATGACTGGTAACAACATCACTGGTAACAACATGACTGGTAAGAACCTGACTGGTAACAACATGAGTGGTAACAACATGACTGGTAACAACCTGACTGGTAACAACCTGACTGGTAACAGCATGACTGGTAACAACATGACTGGTAACAACCTGACTGGTAACAACATGACTGGTAACAACATGACTGGTAACAACCTGACTGGTAACAACATGACTGTTAACAACCTGACTGGTAACAACGTGACTGGTAACAACATGACTGGTAACAACCTGACTGGTAACAACATGACTGGTAACAACCTGAATGGAAACAACATGACTGGTAACAACCTGACTGGCAACAACCTGACTGGTAACAACATGACTGGTAACAACCTGACTGGTAACAACGTGACTGGTAACAACCTGGCTGGTAACAACATGACTGGTAACAACGTGACTGGTAACAACCTGGCTGGTAACAACGTGACTGGTAACAACCTGGCTGGTAACAACATGACTGGTAACAACGTGACTGGCAACAACCTGGCTGGTAACAACGTGACTGGTAACAACATGACTGGTAACAACCTGACTGGTAACAACGTGACTGGTAACAACCTGGCTGGTAACAACGTGACTGGTAACAACGTGACTGGTAACAACGTGACTGGTAACAACGTGACTGGTAACAACCTGACTGGTAACAACCTGACTGGTAACAACGTGACTGGTAAGAACGTGACTGGTAACAACCTGGCCGGTAACAACGTGACTGGTAACAACGTGACTGGTAGCAACGTGACTGGTAACAACCTGACTGGTAACAACCTGACTGGTAACAACCTGACTGGTAACAACCTGACTGGTAACAACATGACTGGTAACAACCTGACTGGTAACAACATGACAGGTAACAACGTAACTGGTAACAACATGACTGGTAACA